GCCACGTGCTTGCACCACCAAGTCTTCCAAAGTCAAAGTAGATATAAGAGAACAACAATTAGGTTTGGTATACCATGCTCTGTGTGTTCAGTCATCTGTTAAAACTTCGAATTCCTGACTGCTTAATTAGATTTTTTCAAAATGACAACTTTTTTCTTCGCACGCTCGCATCAGTTTTTGCCCAATTGATGTCATCCATATAATCAAATCAGTATGGCCTTAGGTGCCACCGTTGGAATCTAGCCTCCTTCGCAGTGTTGTTGGGCGTCGGCGTTATTTTTTCTCTGAGCGACGCGAGTAATATGCGGCCACGAGGGACGATTTGCTGCCGAGGGAGTTTTTGCCACGGAGAGAAGGTTTCGCGCTCCGTGGCAAAAACTCCCTCGGCAGCAAATCGTCCCTCGCGGCCGCATATTACTCGCGTCGCTCAGAGAAAAAATAACGTAGTGCCTTAAATTACGTTTTTACCTAGCTAAGTCGACGACGCATCTCTTAAATGTTTTTAAATTGTGGAGATTTGAAATCAAGACCGGCACTGACTGTGAAAAATAAGGCTTGAATGAAATTTTACAATGTTAACGTATTAATACTGGTCTTTTTCTTTGATTATGAATTGTACGTCTGTAATAGAATCAGCAATTCAGCCATGTGGCTGCCAGTGATTTTAAATTTGAATAAAACCATTCATTCATTCATTCAAATCGTCCCTCGCGGCCGCATATCACTCGCGTCGCTCAGAGAAAAAATAACGCCGACGCCCAACAAGACTGCGAAGGAGGCTAATAAAAACGTGTGTTGAATGTACATGAACAGTGTAGGGGGACATTTTTCTGGCTGTGTCTGGGGTCTATTACGTGCACTTGCATCAATTACTAATTGTAATTGACATAACACCTGCATTTATGGTAATAAGACTTAATTTGGTTTGCGTTGCTCACTCACTTACTTTCGAATCAGATCTAAAGAGGTTGCATTTGCGTCATACCTCTCGTTTCATGCATTTCGTTTATATTCCACGCATATGCATGGTGAAGATGTTCTAGAGATTGGATATAATTATGCTTGATGTGCATGAGGCCTCTGCATTATTGTGTAAGTAATCTGTATCACTAAAGTGTATAGCGTAGTCCACATGCATCATTTTAATGCATTAAATGCAATCGTTATTGTATTTTTAAAGTGTGTTAAATTTTAATGTAAGCTAGATATGTAACAAGTAGGTTTTATCAATTGTAAAGAATTTTTAACAAATAGCTAATCTATAAGCGCATTTTGTGTTGTATTTTAAAGCCTTTCCAATTCAGCCAAATATGGCTGCTTACAGGCTTTTATGTGTAATTTGTGTAAGGCACAAATAAACCAGTCTCTCTCTCTCTCATATGAGTTACGTTGTATTATGTATTTAAGGTATAGGATTTTCTTCTTACACAACCAGTAAGGTTCTCACCTGCTTACGTTTCGATGTCTATCAGACACCTTCCTCCAACCTTCCTGGTTGTGTAAGAAGAAAATCCTATACCCTAAGTATCTTCCAACCTGATGAAATTATTTACGGTGTATTATGTAT